CACTACACACATACACACACTACACACACATACACACACTACACACACTACACACAGCTACACACAACATACACCCACACACACACGTACACACATACACACACAACACCACACATACACAACCTACACACACTACACACACTACACACACATACCACACCACTACCACACTACACACACTAACCCCACTAACACACACATACACACACTACACCACATACACACACCACACGACACACCACACACACCACGACACACACACACACAAACACACACAACACACACTACACACAACACACACACACACAACACACAATACACCACCCACACACACCACTCACACCACACAACACAACTACACAACACACAACATCACACACACACTACACCACAACACCACAACACCACACACATACCACACACACACACACACACCACACACAACACACACACACACACACAACACAACGACACACTACACACACACCACACACACACTACCACACACCACACACCACACCACACCACACACACCACCCACACACACACACGCACACACACACCACTCCACAACCCACTACACACGCACCCCACACTCCCACCACAACCACCCACCCCACCAACACACACACACACACACACACACAACACACACACACAACACCACACACTACACACACACCACACACACACACCCACCCACACTACACACACTACACCACACAACACACATACACACACCAACACACACACGCACACACACCACACACGACACACACTACACACACTAACCCTCACACACACTACACACACACACACACACCACCACACGTACACACACTACACACACACTACACACACTACAATACACATTACACACACACACACACTACACACAACACACCAACACATACACACACACACAACACACACACTACACACCACACTACACACACACTACACACACCAATACACACCCAACACACATACCCACACTACACACACTCACAACCTACACCCAACACATACACCACACACTACAACACACTAACACAGACAACACACTACACAACTACAACACCACACTCACACACATACACACACACTACACACACTACACACTACACAACACGACTCATACACCCCACTACACACACCACTAGACCACCTACTATCACCACCTACCACACTACTACACACACTACACACACATACACACACTACACACACTACACACATACACATGTGGGATGGATGGGCTGCTATCTCTACCTGCATTTCCTGTCCCCTGCAGGATGGAACATGTTCAGTCAGGGCATCTCTGCATTAGCAGAGTTGGACGTTATGTGTTTTAACTCTTTGTGGTGACGAGCTTGTTGGATGCTGAGGTTTCCTACTGTGTGGCTGCAGGGATTGATGGTTCAACCCACGTGTTTACTTCTGGTGTTCTCCTGGTGGGGTTAACAGTTCTTTGTCCTCTCATGGGGCTAATCTGTAGAATAATTGATCTTGAGTTGGCTGCAGGTGGAGGTAGATAGATAGCCTTCTTCTGGTAAGGGAATTTTTTATTGAGATTTATTTTGGTGCAGTACTGATAGCTGTTCAGTATTATAGGATCTGTTAGTATTCAGCTTTACAACTGTCTCGTATCAAAGACTAAACTCTGCCTGCATCTACAGTATCATAACCATCTACAGTATCATAACCATCTACAGTAACATAACCGTCTACAGTAACATAACCATCTACAGTAACATAACCGTCTACAGTAACATAACCATCTACAGTAACATAACCGTCTACAGTAACATAACCGTCTACAGTAACATAACCATCTACAGTAACATAACCATCTACAGTAACATAACCGTCTACAGTAACATAACCGTCTACAGTATCATCGCTTTGCCATGATATCAGCTTGTCATAAATGATCAAAAGTTTGTTGTAGTACAGAACATTTAATACAGAAAAATCACTCTTGCTTTAGTCACTAAATCACAGTGCTACAGAAGATGCATTATCCCTAATAAAAATCTTACCACACCAGAAAGTTGACAAAAACAGGGCTTCTTCGTTTAAATCTGAATTTAAATTATAGAAGTAATCCCAAGACACACTTTTGTTGACCTCCAGAGTTACGGGAATTACTTTCTTGATAGAGCCTGTCTGTGCCTGTGTGAGTGGGTGTTCAGAGTTGAGTCCAGTGATGTGCAATGCAATGGAGAGCTGTGTGTGTGTGAGTGTGTGTGTGTGTGTGTGTGTGTGTGTGTGTGTATACTGTGGAATGTGCTTGCTTAAGTTGCTATCTGACATCGAATGGTCCCAGGGAGGTCTCTGTCTGTCTCTGTGTTTTGATGGAAGTCCCACTGGGGCCATTTTCATATTTCATATTCATGCCTGTTTCAGTAAACTGGAATGAGAATGCAGAGTGAACGGGTTCATAACATTAATTCATAGAATTATAGCATTCATGGGATTTGAGTGGAATCATGTGTCATGACCAACAAAATTAAACAGTAACTTACTGTAAAGTATTGCTTCATACTTCTGTTTATTAGATGTCCTGGGACAGGAATGACCATTAAACAACATTACAACATCACTGTAATTAATTAACTCACGAAAGACAGTTAACGTAGAGCAGGGTTCTTCAATTCCGGTCCTGGAGGGCCGAAACACTTCTGTTTTTTATTTCTACCTGGTAGTTAATTGCACTCACCTGGTGTCCCAGGTCTGAATTAGCCCTGATTAGAAGGAGAGGATGAAAAACAGAGGTGTTTCGGCCCTCCAGGACCGGAATTGAAGAACCCTGACGTAGAGTATACAAGTAGTAACAGAACAAACCTATTTCTAACGAGAATATGTACCTGAGGAATACATGTACCAGAGGTAAACCTTTTTTATTTCTTTATTCTGGAAGCTTCAATGGAATTTTAATGGACGTTTCAAAACAGAAAGGTAATCCTGCAGGAAATGTGATTAATTATATTCTGTGGATTATAATTAATGGAAATTTTTTGGGTGGATTTATACATTTCTCGTAAGGGAAAATAAAGTCTGAAATTTCAAAGTGGAAATTACAAACTTCAGAAGCCTTTTTAAACCTCAAATACACTACAATTTTAAATGTCCTATTCTCCTGCAACAGAGTGATCAAATTAAGATCCTACATCTGTATACAGGACACAACATCTATAGATGTAGGATCTTAATTTGATCACTCTTTTGTTGCTGAGAATTTTCAAATGTGTAGTGTAACGCAAACGTGTAATATATCGGGGATGCTAATCCTGCAGCAAATGTGTAGTGTATCGAGGACTAAAAAGGCTTCTAAAGTTTTGTAATTTCCATATTAAAACGTCAGACTTAATTTGCCCTAATGAAAAATTGATCAGCCCCTACAAGAAATGTCCATGAATTATAATCCACATAATAATTTGGATTTCCAATTGCCGCAGGATTATTTTCCTGCTGTAGCAAACTGGCTCAAATTAAGATCCGGCATCTGTAACGCTGACCAGATGGTCTGGGGGATGCCTTTTGTTTTCTCAAGCCTAAGAACAGCAAGGACATACAGTACAGCTCCGTTTGTTTAAGCACAGAGAGGAGGAGATCTGATGTCCTGAGGCTAGGATGCAAGATGTTGTGGAATTTCAACTTGTATCCAACGGCCTCCAACACAAGTGTTTGTTTAGAACCATGGGGTGACTGGACAAATAAACTGAACTTCACATGACTCCACACTGGACCACTCTGTCTGGACAGGTCACGACACAAAAAACAATACGCATTCGTACAATACTGCATTTCTTCGAAAAAAAATTATCACCATAACAATTAGCAAGCTCAGTCAAGATCAGGCCTTATCTGACAAGTGCCAACACATCCTCTTGCTCTGTCATTCCAATACTGAAATAAGAATTGATCAGATAAAATTCCTCAACCACTAATCCACATATTACTGAAAAGGTTCCTTATAGGTTCCTTAGCAGAGGTTTGATTTAATAAGGACGGATAATGGTTTACATGGGAATGTTGGTGTGACTAATGTAATCTAATGTACAGTATAGTTTACGCCTGAAGCTAAATGCAATAAAGATGATTTGCTACATAGACAATCATTGTCTGTGTTCAGGACTCTGACCAATCTTAGTATAACCCTACCTTATTGGTTTAAAATATTAAACATTTCAATAGTGGAGAAGGGAGTTGCTCTTGCTACAGGCCGTATTAAAAGTAAATACCAATGTCAACTGGCGGGTGGCCAGATCAGGAATAATTACAATATTAAGGTTAGTGTGGCACAATGCATCAAATAAATAAATAGCTAAATTCAAAACCATCAGCAGCACAGTGTCTGATCTCCAAAACTCTACAGATATTTTCAGAAGTATACCTCTTGTAATACAATCTACTAGTGGTGTCTATATCAAACCTGAACTACTGGTATTTAGATTGGGGAAGAGCAAGGATCATAGCTCAAGGCATCAGCATACCACGTAGACTACCCTCTTTAGAATCAGGAAATAGGACAGATGTGAGTTTAGGATCAAACTTACTTGCAATGTGGTGGATATGGTATGATTAATATTAATACAGTATAGAATTGAAACACTAATATGAGAGAGTTGTACAGTTGGCTATATACAAAGAGTTCTGTTTTGGTCCTCAATGTTGTTAATATCGCCCCCTGTCTCTCATTCTGCAGCACTACATCTACAATAAACAGGTTAGAGGCAGTCAGGCAGATCACTGGTAGTCTAACACAATAATATGACATTTAGCAAATGCTTTTATCAAGAGTGACTTACAGTCATTCGTGCATACATTTTAACAACGTGTGGTCCATGGAATCGAACCCACCATCATGGCATTGCAAGTGCCATACCAACTAAGCTACTGAGGACCACTGATGGTAATATAATGATTTGTCTCTTTTTCCCTGAAGAAATGGGATGAGAAGATGAAGATCATAGCTGAGGGGTACCGGATCTAGAGGAGCTGAACACGGGGAGAAAACGTGTTTGTGTCCAACGGGCCCTTGGGCCCCAACATGGCCAATAGAGAAGTGGTTCCTGGAGCACCTAGACTACGACTACAACAACAACAGCTGCCAGGACGACAAGATGTGTGGACACTGCACTCAGGTGAGAGACACAGAAAGGGGAGATGTTAGACAACGTCACTGAACTGGTAGAATAGACTTCTTATAACCTGAGACAGTACTATAACTGTAACAGGTTGAATATTCCTTTGTGTGTTTATTCCTGTGTGTATAATCCCTGTGATTGTGGGTGATGATGATGATGATGATGATGATGGTGAAGACACTGTAAATTGATCAGACTGATGGGGGTGTTTCAGATGGTTTGGGCAGACTCTCACTCTGTTGGCTGTGCTGCTCATCACTGTGACACCATGGAGCGACTGTCCTTAGAGAAAGTGACCTTCCTTTGTCTGCAATTATTACCCAGCGTAAGTATGGTACCAAAGAACATGTACAACATTACACACTTACATCCTATTTCCACACTTAGACGATGTCTGAGAATACCTCAATTAACATAATTAATCCTCACCATTACATTTCACTGATTGCGTTAGGGTTAGAGTTAGGGGTTGTGGTTAGGGTTAGGGTTAGTGTTAGGGTTCACGTTAGGTTTGGTCCCTGGCTTACAGCCCTGACTGAGTGACCATTGACTTGTGTTTCATTTACATTTCAGAGGTAACTTTAATGATGAGAAACCCTATGAGGAAGGTGAATGGTGCTCCAAGTGCCCAGACAACCTGCCGAGATGTGATCAGAACCTCTGTGGTAAGAATTCAGCACATGTCAATCACACACATTTTCCCCCTCCATTTATTTTACAGCACTATCTCGCTCCATTGTCTTGGAAAACACACAGGTGTCAAACTTCATCCTCTCCAACCTGACCTCAGTATCGAGCCAGTTGTGGTTGATCATGATATCCCCTCTTTGTGGAGATAGACTGACTGCTTTGGGCTAGGGACCCTGTAATCAGTTTCTAAGACATAGCTTTAGATTTCTCATCACTGTTTCCCCCAGTGCCTGATGCCCCCAAGCCTTCAGAGGAGCCTGATGTCGAGGAAGAGACAACGGAGAGCACTCCCCCAGGCATTGAGGTGCCTCCACACACACAGACAGCCAACCGGAATCAGCACAACCAGACCACTCATCAGCCCCAGAGCCAACCATGGCTGACAGTGAGAAGACAGACACGCAGCCTGGGGACGAGGTTGAGGAGAAGGTCGTGGAGGAGACAGACACGCAGCCTGGGGACGAGGTTGAGGAGAAGGTCGAGGAGGAGACAGACACGCAGCCTGGGGACGAGGTTGAGAAGAAGGTCGTGGAAGAAACAGACACGCAGCCTGGGGACGAGGTTGAGGAGGAGGTCGAAGAGGAGACAGGCACGCAGCCTGGGGACGAGGTTGAGGAGAAGGTTGAGGAGACAGGCACACAGCCTGGGGACGAGGTTGAGGAGAAGGTCGAGGAGGAAACAGGCACGCAGCCTGGGGACGAGGTTGAGGAGAAGGTCGAGGAGACAGACACGCAGCCTGGGGACGAGGTTGAGGAGAAGGTTGTGGAGGAGACAGACATGCAGCCTGGGGACGAGGTTGAGGAGAAGGTTGTGGATGAGACAGACACGCAGCCTGGGGACGAGGTTAAGGAGAAGATCGAGGAGACAGACACGCAGCCTGGGGACGAGGTTGAGGAGAAGGTCGTGGAGGAGACAGACACGCAGCCTGGGGACGAGGTTGAGGAGAAGGTCGTGGAGGAGACAGGCACTCAGCCTGGGGACGAGATTGAGGAGTGGGGGGGAGGAGACAGACACGCAGCCTGGGGACGAGTTTGAGGAGAAGGTTGTGGAGGAGACAGACACGCAGCCTGGGGACGAGGTTTAGGAGAAGGTCGAGGAGACAGGCACGCAGCCTGGGGATGAGGTTGAGGAGAAGGTCGTGGAGACAGGCACACAGCCTGGGGACGAGGTTGAGGAGAAGGTCGTGGAGGAGACAGACACGCAGCCTGGGGACGAGGTTGAGGAGAAGGTCATGGAGACAGGCACACAGCCTGGGGACGAGGTTGCGGAGAAGGTCGTGGAGGAGACATACACGCAGCCTGGGGACGAGGTTGAGGAGAAGGTTGTGGAGGAGACAGACACGCAGCCTGGGGACGAGGTTGAGGAGTGGGGGGGAAGAGACAGACACGCAGCCTGGGGACGAGGTTGAGGAGAAGGTCGTGGAGACAGGCACGCAGCCTGGGGACGAGGTTGAGGAGATGGTCGAGGAGACAGACACGCAGTCTGGGGACGAGGTTGAGGAGACAGGCACACAGCCTGGGGACGAGGTTGAGGAGTGGGGGGGAAGAGACAGACACGCAGCCTGGGGACGAGGTTGCGGAGAAGGTTGTGGAGGAGACAGACACGCAGCCTGGGGACGAGGTTGAGGAGAAGGTTGTGGAGGAGACAGACACGCAGCCTGGGGACGAGGTTGAGGAGAAGGTCATGGAGGAGACATACACGCAGCCTGTGGACGAGGTTGAGGAGAAGGTCGTGGAGGAGACAGACACGCAGCCTGGGGACGAGGTTGAGGAGACGGTCGTGGAGACAGGCACACAGCCTGGGGACGAGGTTGAGGAGAAGGTCGTGGAGGAGACAGACACGCAGCCTGGGGACGAGGTTTAGGAGAAGGTCGATGAGACAGGCACGCAGCCTGGGGACGAGGTTGAGGAGAAGGTCGTGGAGGAGACAGACACGCAGCCTGGGGACGAGGTTTAGGAGAAGGTCGATGAGACAGGCACGCAGCCTGGGGACGAGGTTGCGGAGAAGGTTGTGGAGGAGACAGACACGCAGCCTGGGGACGAGGTTGAGGAGAAGGTCGTGGAGGAGACAGACACGCAGCCTGGGGACGAGGTTGAGGAGTGGGGGGGAGGAGAGAGCAGCGGAGAGGGAGAAGGAGAGAACTAGGATCCAATCTCCGGCCAATTCAGGAAGGATCTCTACACCCCTACTTCTTACCAGCCTAATGGCTTTACTCTCACTAGTATTGTGAGGGAGGGTATGAGAGAAAGGTATGACACACACACACATACACGCACACACACACACACACACACACACACACACACATACATACACATACACATACACATACAGATACACAGACACACACACGATCTGGAACTGAACTGGACATTGCTGGAAGTTTAATTACATTGTGCTATAACCATGTCTACAGCAGAGGGATTTGTTGATGGTTATTTTGTTATTATTTGCTCGCTAGTAATTACAGTTGCTAGTTTTCCATGTGCCTTCCTAGCAAAAGCAATAAGCACACAACATACAATAGTTAACAATGTATTATAACAGTTATTATTATATTATTATATTATATTATATATTATATATTATATATAACAGTTACGACCTGTTACAAATCTAACAGCAACACATTTTCTTAAAGCAAGGCACATTCTCTAATATGAATGCGATTCGTAAACCTAAAGGAGCGTAACTACTGTCCATTTGGAATATTTCTGTAAATGTCTGTATATAATAATAAATATTGTTTGTTCTACTTGTTGGGTCTCAACATTTCCTTTGTCTGGACTGTGAATATATGTTTGACCTTTGACCACAAAGGATAAAAGCCAGTAGCCAGATGAGCCAACTTGAGCTCCTCATCAAAATGGCGAGCTCCACATCAAGACTAAATAAATAAATGAGTCTTGTAATGGAGCTTATTCTGTATCAGAAAATGCTCTGTGTCTTCATACAGTCCTTTCTCTTCTCTCTGTAATGTTTTATTAATTCTCACTCCTCTTTAAAGGAGCAATTTGCAGTTAGAACGATAACAAAGCGGGCACCCCGCCACTGATTTGGTAAACAGCTGTAAGCACGACAGTTGAACTAAGCTCTTGAGGCATCTATCTATGAGTTATATTCTTCAATAATAAATTGATATATATAATTTCTTTAAAAGTAAGAAAATTAATAATTAGCAACTGCAGAAATCCCCTTTAACCATTTCAATCAGATAGGTGTGTTGCAGGTATGAAAATAAAAAGAAGCAAAAACAACGAAAGGTTTACACCTGGGGAGAACACGCTAGGCCATGTTAACAATAGGTTTTACACATGGGGAGAACATGCTAGGCCATGTTAACAAAAGGTTTACACCTGTGGAGAACATGCTAAGCCATGTTAACAAAATGTTTACACCTGGGGAGAACATGCTAAGCCATGTAAACACAATGTTTACACCTGGGGAGAACATGCTAGGCCATGTTAACAAAAGGTTTACACCTGGGGAGAACATGCTAGGCCATGTTAACAAAAGGTTTACACCTGGGGATAACATGCTAGGCCATGTTAACAAAATGTTTACACCTGTGGAGAACATGCTAAGCCATGTTAACAAAAGGTTTAAACCTGGGGAGAACATGCTAGGCTATGTTAACAAAATGTTTACACCTTGGGAAAACATGCTAGGCCATGTTAACAAAAGGTTTACACCTGGGGAGAATATGCCAAGCCATGTTAACAACAGGTTTACACCTGGGGAGAACATGCTAGGCCATGTTAACAAAAGGTTTACACCTGGGGAGAATACGCTAAGCCATGTTAACAAAAGGTTTACACATGGGGAGAACACGCTAAGCCATGTTAACAAAAGGTTTACACCTGGGGAGAACACGCTAAGCCATGTTAACAAAAGGTTTACACCTGTGGAGAACATACTATGCCATGTTAACAAAAGGTTTACACCTGGGGAGAAAAAGCTAAGCAAAGTTAACAAAAAGTTTACACCTGGGGAGAAAAAGCTACGCCAAGTTAACAAAAAGTTTACACCTGGGTAAAACATGCTAAGCCATGATAACAAAAGGTTTACACCTGGGGAGAACATGCTAAGCCATATTATCAAATGGTTTACACCTGGGGAGAACACGCTAAGCCATGTTAACAAAAGGTTTACACCTGGATAGAACATGCTAGGCCATGTTAACAAAAGGTTTACACCTGGGGAGAACATGCTAGGCCATGTTAACAAAATGTTTACACCTGGGGAGAACATGCTAAGCCATGTTAAGAAAAGGTTTCCACCTGGGGAGAACATGCTAAGCCATGTTAACAAAAGGTTTACACCTGGGGAGAACATGCTAAGCAATGTTAACAAAATGTTTACACCTGGGGAGAACATGCTATGCCATGTTAACAAAAGGTTTACACCTGGGGAGAACATGCAAAGCCATGTTAACAAAAGGTTTAAACCTGGGGAGAACATGCTAGGCTATGTTAACAAAATGTTTACACCTTGGGAAAACATGCTAAGCCATGTTAACAAAAGGTTTACACCTGGGGAGAATATGCCAAGCCATGTTAACAACAGGTTTACACCTGGGGAGAACATGCTAGGCCATGTTAAAAAAAAAGGTTTACACCTGGGAAGAATATGCTAAGCCATGTTAACAAAAGGTTTACACATGGGGAGAACACGCTAAGCCATGTTAACAAAAGGTTTACACCTGGGGAGAACACGCTGAGCCATGTTAACAAAAGGTTTACACCTGGGGAGAACACGCTAAGCCATGTTAACAAAAGGTTTACACCTGTGGAGAACATACTATGCCATGTTAACAAAAGGTTTACACCTGGGGAGAAAAAGCTAAGCAAAGTTAACAAAAAGTTTACACCTGGGGAGAAAAAGCTACGCCAAGTTAACAAAAAGTTTACACCTGAATAAAACATGCTAAGCCATGTTAACAAAAGGTTTACACCTGGGGAGAACATGCTAAGCCATATTATCAAATGTTTTACACCTGGGGAGAACACGCTAAGCCATGTTAACAAAAGGTTTACACCTGGATAGAACATGCTAGGCCATGTTAACAAAAGGTTTACACCTGGGGAGAACATGCTAGGCCATGTTAACAAAATGTTTACACCTGGGGAGAACATGCTAAGCCATGTTAAGAAAAGGTTTCCACCTGGGGAGAACATGCTAAGCCATGTTAACAAAAGGTTTACACCTGGGGAGAACATGCTAAGCAAAGTTAACAAAAAGTTTACACCTGGGGAGAAAAAGCTACGCCAAGTTAACAAAAAGTTTACACCTGGGTAAAACATGCTAAGTCATGTTAACAAAAGGTTTACACCTGGGGAGAACATGCTAAGCCGGGCAGCGGAGCGGAAATGGAAGAAAACTAAACTCCCTGCCGACCTGGCATCTTTTCACTCCCTCCTCTCTACATTTTCTTCATCTGTTTCTGCTGCTAAGGCCACTTTCTACCACTCTAAATTCCAAGCATCTGCCTCTAACCCTAGGAAGCTCTTTGCCACATTCTCCTCACTGCTGAATCCTCCCCCCCACCCCCACCCCCCTCCTCCCTCTCTGTGGATGACTTCGTCAACCACTTTGAAAAGAAGGTTGACGACATCCGATCCTCGTTTGTTAAGTCTAATGACACTGCTGGTCCTGCTCACACTGCCCTACCCTATGCTTTGACTTCTTTCTCCCCTCTCTCTCCAGATAAAGTCTTGCGACTAGTGACTGCAGGCCGCCCAACAACCTGCCCGCTTGACCCCATCCCCTCCTCTCTTCTCCAGACCATCTCCGGTGACCTTCTGCCCTACCTCACCTCGCTGATCAACTCATCCTTGACTGCTGGCCATGTCCCTTCCGTTTTCAAGAGAGCGAGAGTTGCACCCCTTCTCAAAAAACCAACACTCGATCCCACTGATGTCAACAACTACAGACCAGTATCCCTTCTTTCTTTTCTTTCCAAAACTATTGAGCGTGCCGTCTTTAGCCAACTCTCTTGCTATCTCTCTCAGAATGACCTTCTTGATCCAAACCAGTCAGGTTTCAGGACTGGTCATTCAACTGAGACTGCTCTTCTCTGTGTCACGGAGGCTCTCCGCACTGCTAAAGCTAACTCTCTCTCCTCTGCTCTTGTCCTTCTAGACCTGTCTGCTGCCTTTGATACTGTGAACCATCAGATCCTCCTCTCCACCCTCTCCGAGCTGGGCATCTCCGGCGCGGCTCACACCTGGATTGCGTCCTACCTGACCGGTCGCTCCTACCAAGTGGCGTGGCGAGAAGCTGTCTCCGCACCACGTGCTCTCACCACTGGTGTCCCCCAGGGCTCAGTTCTAGGCCCTCTCCTTTTCTCCCTATACACCAAGTCACTTGGCTCTGTCATATCCTCACATGGCCTCTCCTATCATTGCTACGCTGACGATACACAACTAATCTTCTCCTTTCCCCCTTCTGATAACCAGGTGGCGAATCGCATCTCTGCATGTCTGGCCGACATATCAGTATGGATGACGGATCACCACCTCAAGCTGAACCCTGGCAAGACGGAGCTGCTCTTCCTCCCGGGGAAGGACTGCCCGTTCCATGATCTCGCCATCACGGTTGACAACTCCGTTGTGTCCTCCTCCCAGAGTGCGAAGAGCCTTGGCGTGACCCTGGACAACACCCTGTCGTTCTCCGCTAACATCAAGGCGGTGACTCGATCCTGCAGGTTCATGCTCTACAACATTCGGAGAGTACGACCCTGCCTTACACAGGAAGCGGCACAGGTCCTAATCCAGGCACTTGTCATCTCCCGTCTGGATTACTGCAACTCGCTGTTGGCTGGGCTCCCTGCCTGTGCCATTAAACCCCTACAACTCATCCAGAATGCCGCAGCCCGTCTGGTGTTCAACCTTCCCAAGTTCTCTCACGTCACCCCCCTCCTCCGCACACTCCACTGGCTTCCAGTTGAAGCTCGCATCCGTTACAAGACCATGGTGCTTGCCTATGGAGCAGTGAGGGGAACGGCACATCCGTACCTTCAGGCTCTGATCAGTCCCTACACCCAAACGAGGGCATTGCGTTCATCCACCTCTGGCCTGCTGGCTCCCCTTCCTCTGCGGAAGCATAGTTCCCGCTCAGCCCAGTCAAAACTGTTCGCTGCT